AATATTAAACAATTTTTAAAATGGTACTTAAAAAGATACAACTTATTCAATTTATAAGGCATTTGATGTTGGATTTAAATGTTTTATTGTTAAATATAATAAAAAAAATTTACAAAGAAATTTGCAAAAGAAATATTAAGTAATGTTTCCATCATATGTTTGATCTCATCAAAGTGACTACTCCGAGGTCTCAGAAAACTGATTAAGAAAACTGCGAGTAGTATTCTTTAAAGTTATCTGTCTTATCAGAAGGTCGCTATCCCTTCAACAATTATGAAGGCATTTTAGCAACTGTGCAATAAAACAGTTGACATTTAAAGAAAGCATATTATTATTATATGACACCTCCTTTCCAAAATAAATAATTGAATAAATGTTGAATCAACTGTTTTTTTTTTTCAACATATAATCAACGTTGATTATCAATGTTGATTCAATGTTAAGACTTTCACATTGATACAAATTTTCAAAATTTAACATAAAATCAATGTTGAATCAACATAGAAAAACAACGTTGATTCAAAGTTTATTCAATGTTGTGTGCCTGCTGGGATGACCCCTTTTCATACAGGATAAGAGCTGGGAACCAGGAAACGACACAAATATATGAATCGAAAACTGGTTTATACACAGTAGAAGAGTTTCAAAGATTAATTATCGAGTTATACTATGGAAGAAGAGTTTAGTAGACCTACAAAAATCACAACTAAAAGGTCTAGAGATGGACGTCATAAATGGAGATCACCGCAAACTATGCGAGTTGTTTAATTTATGATTAGAAAATTGCCTATTAAAAGAATAATTCCTTGATTTGTAGCATTTGTGAAGCGTAAAACTCGATAACTGAAAGAAAATCAAATGCAGTGACAAATTTATGCTTCGATTTTTTTTTAAAGGCACGTTTCCTGAACAAATCAGAAAAAAACAATTATAAACTCCTTACGAAGAATAGATTTATGCAAAAAATACTCGTAATGATTCTTTGTGATATTTAATCTTCCAATGTCTGTTGTTTCTTATAGACATTAAAGTATCCGCTTATAACATGTGCTTTTAATTTCTGAAGTTTCTTAATTTACTCTTTTTACTCTTACTCTTTAACTCGACCGCATAATCAGACTTGTATTATTTTTTTAATAATGACAGCAAGTTTATAGAATGACTAATGAATCAAAAAATTAAAGTTTTCGCCATCAATCCGTATCAGTTACTGTATGCGAAATATTCTATATTCATATAATAAATCCGTGAATTTGAATAATTTTTCAATATCTCCATGTTTTATTTGGAAATTTGAGAATGGACTACGATAGGTTTAAATACATATACAATAGTACATGGTCATTTCAGTAATTACGAGTAGTACTTGTCATTCAATTATTTTAATTAGCACGCTTTACATTAATTCAAATCAACAGATAATAACCTGTATTTGTTAAAAGGCTTATAAATAGCCAACGCTACATGTTTCATCAATCAAATCACGTGGGACATGAGTTTTGATTATGCATGCGTAACTAATGTTACCACGCACGGTGTGTGCATTACCTGCATGTATTATCATGTATATTCTAGTTTTTATCGACATTTTGATTTTAAAGAATCATTCAAATAACTATCGAACTTACTGAAGATTTGGAAGGATATTATTTCATCGACCTTCATTAACACATTTATTACCGTCCAGTAATTTTTCGCCGCGATGTATTGAAGATCTTGGGGTGTACATGCACTCATCGTAATAGAGTTATTTGACGTTTATAGTCAAGGACTTTTGATAACTGCACCTGTTTAAATTAATCGTCAATTATTTATTAAGTCTAACTATTTCATATTAACCTACCCTGTTGTTCGTGAAATAAAGACATAACAGTGAAGAATGTCGTTTACATGTAGCTATGGATTAAACGGATATAGACAAGGGAGGTAAATTCTATAACATAAGAATTCCGCGAATTCAAGAAACCGCGATCGTGTCCGATGAGGGAAAACCGTGAAAATTACAACCCGTGAAATTAATCCCCTATACAGTAATGCGATTTCTTATATAAATGTTTTAAATTTGATGTAGTTTTTCTCTGAATTCTTTGATCCACGCGTCGGCCGCAGAGGATCTTTACACACGCGCTGACCTAGTTAGAAGTCTGACCATCATTTACGTGATAGCCAAGAAGACTATATATATGAGAACATAAGTACTGCGCACATGCATATTTCGAAGAACCCCCACCACCTAGGCGATGTGTGTCTGACTCTCTATGATTTCTCTGCAGCTTGTTTTCTTTCTCAATAATAATCAAGATCGTTATTTACATCTCGATCTATATTTAGAAAAAATCGCACCATCATCAAACTGACAAGTCGGTAATCCTCGGGTGGCCTCGCACTTTTTGTATGGTGCATAGTGGAGTCAGTCGAGGATTGCCGATTGATAAATGGCAGCTTACACTGGGGCTTCACATCCGGAAATCAAACTTAATGTGTCATGATGACAAAAAACACTAGCGGTGTTGCACCGAAAGCTATTTTGAATGATTCGTCGATCAAAGATAAAGAATATTATCTATAGAGATATTTCATTGAAATTTCTTTGAATTAGGTTACAAATGTTGATTATGACGTATACCAGTCTTTAAACTTTATCATATTACTTTTATCTGAAATTTAGAATTTAACCTTATACCTGACACAAAATTAAGGCTGAATTACTGTTGACATCTTTTTAAAAAATTGTTTACATTGTTGAAATTCTATAAGAACGAAACGAAAAAAAAATCAGAAATGAACAAAACACACCATGATACGTAATCTTGTGCTAATTCATGTTTTTCCTTTAAATTCTTTATAGAAAAGAAACTATGTCATCACCTGCAAGTCGGATGAATCTACTTTTCAAAGCCAACCGCTTGAATTTAAAAGTATTGATTAAAACGTTACTTATTCTACAGATAGATAGATTTCAGTAGACCCTAATTAAGAAGACGTATTTCCCGTTGGCCTTCATATTGGGGGTCAGCATGCTCATATTCCTTCATTATTCAACCAACTTCAACGTTTTATACTGGCAATTGTGGGATGTGAAGCATTGATTTTCTTGGACATATACGTTAGAGCCTCTTTTCTTTCATAAAGACCCCCCCCCCCAAAAAAAAAAAATTATGCTACACCCTCATATATTTGGTAGGACAGAAAGGGAAAATTACCAGGTTGACCACCAAGATGGCGGCCAAGAGGAAATAACTTTTGTTTATTTGGGTCTACTGAATACTATCTATATAGAATTCTCCGATCTGACAATATCAATGTAGACTTATTAAAACTGGAAAGACTTTTGAAATGTATGAAGATAACAAATGGTATTAAAACTCATGTTCATTAAACAATACAAAATAGGAGCATAGTAAACATGAACCTACAAATAAATCAGAAGTGGGATAAGGTTTCATGGAAGTGTGAGTATCCCTTGCCAACTGGCCACACTCGCCGTGTGCTCCGTGCCATGATCGGGAAATAACGGACAATCCGTCGACATTTCAGTATATAGATAATGATCCAACACTAATTTTGAAAACGTAAGTCAGCAATTGTCTTAATGATGAATTATATTTGTTGACAAGGTCATTGTATCGACCATATTACTTTCTAACTGCAGAAATATATCTCCCTGAAAATATTAACAAACCGGAGAGCTACAGTGCCACCCATTGAAAAAACTGTATCTTTATTGCGCATAAAAATGTGAAGTTTCCCAATTCATTTGTCTTTTTTTTTAAACTGCTCACATATTACTTATGATGTGTTGCTAACATATTCGTTAACTATTTTCTCAGCAAAACAATCTTTACAACCCTTGTAAATGGCCTTTTTGGGCCATACATTGCAGAAGTCGAAAATTAAGATAATTTGGTACAACGCGCTTTATGCAGATATCAAATGTGAGAGAACTTGACAGTGTTCAAGTGCATATTTACATATCGAGCTTTAAATTTGTTTAGATGAGGTGTGAATTTGCACATGTTAATTCAAAATGAGTGCAACTTTTTGTGCGTTATAAATAACCAGTTTTTTTCTATAGGTGGCACTGTACCTCTCTGGTCATCCATCCCAATTTTTTTTTCAAACCAAAGAGCTACAGATCTGCAGCTAAGATTTTAAGATACGATGACTTTAAAGGAGACTGCTGATATTATTATTTCAGCAATTTGTCTTGCATTAATTCTCTTCATTTAGAAACTGGTTTCACATTTAGGTGCTCTAGCATATCGAATCAACTACATGTAAGAGCTAAAAACACAGTATGATATCAGTAACGATCAACTCTATCAATGATTTGGATAAAATCATTACTGATTTGTCACGTGCTCATAATATAATTACATTCTTCAAGTAAATTTTATTTAATCAGAAAACCTTGTAATTGGAAATAACCCGTTTTATGTTTAGACTTGTCACATGGTATGGCACGTAATTTTGGTTAATATATTTGCAGTATAGAAGACATTTAAAAATTATTCTGAATATCAAGGAGGAGACTAACCAAATCACTGAGCTAACTTAGCTTAGTTTATAGATATCAGACATCCCCCTATCATATTATTGTATTTTGTTAAAAATGGTGTGTTCCCATATTTGTATCTTTTGCCATTTTGCATTTTACAATTCAATACTGTCAGACTCGCATATACGGAACTCACTTGGACTAAGTTTTATTTCTCTATAACCAAGATTTTAAATATTCACAAGAACTATGTGAAATGTTGTATGTTGAGCCCATTTAAAATTCTTCATAATTGAGAACTGAAGAACCTAGTTTAAGTGTAAATGAACTTTTTTTTCTTTATTCAATTGTATTATATCTACGACGTAAAGAAAGTATATAGATGTGAAAAAATTTTACTTTTATCATATTAGAAACTAGTTACATTTAGTTGTAATATACTTACAATAAAAAATAACAGATTTAGAGATAATTCAAAATCATTTTAACACATATCCTCAAACATATAAACATTTACATTGATTTCAAGGAAGGCTTTATTGGTTTTCCATTCTCCTAATTAATACACACTTTACTATGTGTTGAGCATATTGCAAATGATATAAAATGCTTGAAAAAATAAATTGTGAACACCGTCAATTAGCACCAAATTTACGATTATAAAACAATATATTTTATAGAAATATATTAAGCATCTACCCGACAATATGTAATACACGGTAAAATCATAAATTCATAAAAAGAGAAACTAAAATCTATAGGCATTAGATTAAAATAGAACTGATTAATGTAAAATAAAGTTTCCGCTGACAAATCTTGCAGAAAAGAATCAACCAGGTTCAGAATAAGTACTAAAAATCTGTGCTGTTTAAGCTGTTTAATGCAATTTTCAAAAACATCAACTCGAGTTTTAGCTTGAAATATCCGTCCTTGTCCTTAGGATAAAAATTCATCATTGATACTATTACAAAGTCTCCTCCAGAAAATTGAATCCGCGTGTTCATCGTTAGGAAATTCAATGTACGACCTCTGATTGATAAGGTCCATGATACTCAAGGGTATTTTATCTACAGGAACAGCATCATAAAATACCAAAAGGAGAACGCCTTCATTTTCTCGAGAATAGATGTCTTCCATCTTTGCAATATGTAGCTCATACATACACCAACTGGATTTGATGAAGTTTGGAGACAATATAGCAATGGTCTTTTTACTTTTATTGACGGCAGTGATAATATTTTCGCATATATCATATCCCGGAACAAAATCTCGATGGTGAATACATAAACGTATCCCATTATTTTCTTCTAATTCCAACATCATTTTCTGAACAAACGGAAAATCGTCATCGGCATAGGAAACAAAGGCATCATATTTAAAATCTGATTGGCTTTCACTTCTCACAGCTTTATATCCATGGTATCGACTTTTAGTCATAAAGTAAAAATAACGAAGTTTCCATCTATATCTGTATAGCAGCCCACACAAAAGGATGACAAAGAACAGGAGAATGATGAATGACAAAATAATGATCAAATACGTGTAGGAATTGCATTCTTTTTCTAGTTTTTGCATATAGTCTTTAATTTTTGAAAACATTATTGGTTTGCCCTGGGATGAAGTCGCGCAGGAATACTTTTCAAATGACTTAAAACTGATTTTCTTAGTGTCATGCCTTTTAATCATCCACTGTAGAAATGACAGTGTTTTACAATTACATGAAATCGGGTTTCTTAATAGATTTAATGTAAAACTGACTTTATCTGCCTGTTGGTCAACATCTTTCATGTTTGTTTCGGAAAGAAATTCGATTTGGTTTCCAGATACATCAAGAAATTGTAAGTTCTTTAAAGTCGAAATACTAAAATCTATAGTGCTAAGCGTATTATCAGCCAGTACTAAATCCTTTATGCTTCGAAGTCCTTTAAAAATCTGATTTGGCAGATGTGTAATTCTGTTTGCTCTCAGCTCTAAATGAGTCAAGTTTTTCAGACTTGCAAATATTTCACCTTCCGTATCCGGTGATAAACTAAAACCCAACAAATTATCACTTAGGTATAATTCTGAAAGATTACCAAGATGCTTAAAGAAACTTTTGGAAACTGAAGAACAGAAATTGTTTGACATATTCAGTACTCGAAGTCTTTCCATTCCTAGTACAGGACCTGTCCATGAATATAAAATGTTGTCCTGTATGTATAACTCTTCCAGCTTGTTTTCATTCGATTTCAACCTTGGAATCTCAAAGCGCAATGCACTTTTGTTGTAAAAAACCGTTTTTATATTTGGTGGTAATGGTTGGACTTCATTTTTGCTATTTAATAATTCGTTTCGTTGACTAGATCTTGTAAAATTTCCTCCAGTTTTATTTTTGTATCTCACCAACAACTTTGCCGTCTCATTTGTCTTATGCACGCGACCATATGAATAATCTTGGGTGTTTATTAAATATTCTTTTCTTCTTTCATCTCGACATATTTTGTTGCTGATAATAATATCAATGGGACTGTGGGAAAGATATTGTAAACTTGCGTTTATCCATTCCAGATCCTTTAATGCTCCAAGGTGTAAAACGTATAAACCAAATGTAAGTCGGTTTTCAGCTATTGATATTCTCTTAACTGTTTTAGGGAAATAATCAGAAGTTCCGTTTTCCAATAATTCAATTCTGTTGCTTGACAAATGAATTTCTGTTAGATTTGTATTATTTAGATACCTTATATCATCTTTTTTTATTTCAGTACCCAGTCCAAATGTGCAGTGGATTTTGTTCAATGAAAGGGTCGAAATTGTTGAAAATTGAAGACCGTATGCCAAAAATGGCAAAATTCGAAAAGTCAACTCTGTATTTTCAGATAAGTCCAACGTTTTAATATTGATCAAATCTGCAAAAACATTTATACTTAGTTTGTTAGTTAACCGAAACTTGTTTGAATTTAATTTCAAAACTGTAAGCTTGAACAGTCCTTTGAATGAAAAGTTTCTAAATGCACTTATGGAGTTATGGGAGAGGTCCAGATGAGTTAAGTTATCTGGTATTTTTTTCCTGTCAGGGAGCTGTGTTAGATTGTTATGACTGAGATCTATTCGTGTTACATTCGCCCAGAAATCGGGTGACAGTTTTAAGCCCAGATTCGAGCAGTCAGCATGAATATTATTAGAAAAGTTGAAACATCTACACCTTTTTTCAAATGGACAGCGCTCCACATTTTCCCCGATCTGTATCAGAACACTCAAAACTGCTACTGCGAAAAACCTCAGTTCCATTTCCAAGCTGAAATAAAACATAACAATTGAAACCCTACATTAAGATTGAATAAAGTTATTTGTTTTATTAATAAAAATACGTCTTGGTCAAGAATTATACGATCATGACAAGGAGCACACGGAGGGTGTGACCGCTCGGCAGGAGATGCTAACTCCCCCATGGCACCTCATTTCACCTCTGATGATTTGGAGGTCGGTGTTTTCTCTGCTCCTGTTTCTCTATTGTTTTATGGTCTTTTGATCTTGAATACTGTTCGTTATCTCCATATGTTTAATAAGCACTAAATACGATGCTGTTTTTAAAATAAAGTCAAATATAGTATGTTACAAAGTGAAAATTTGTATTTTAAACTTAGTAATTAAATACCGTAGAAGGAGAATGTTTAGCAAGTTTAAATATTGGTATTAACAGCTAGGGTTCTGAGATCACTAAAATTAAATACCGCTAAAAACTTATTGCGTTTTAGTTGTAAAAGCCTGCATTTGAAAATCGCAAAATTACTTCTCGCTAAAATATAAAATACTGTAAACATGGAAATTTTGACGATGTGCTAATTTTGACTATATTGACGATTTTTCTTTCCTCGTTAAAATTTACACTCGTCAAACTTCAAATTATATACATTGTATATACAGTGTATAGCGTAACAACAGCTATTGACCATTGTACAACTTTACCACTAAATTTTCACGACTTCCACCTATTCAAACTAGACCAAAGTTACAGTTATTTTCCTTTGTAATTAATTATGAAAAACAGTGATATATAATCACACTTTTTAAAAAATCATTGAATCTAAGCTAGTGTATCCAATATTTGCATCTGTAACTTAGCGTAATTATCACGCCATGCTTGACCAAGTTTGTAACCTCGGGCAATTAATCGCTTAAACATTGTTTACAATTATTTACATTTATAAATAGGAAAAAATGAAAACATTTTGGTGTGTACCCTTTCAATTTTAAAGCATGCAGTGAATTTGAAAATATTGGCCTTTGTAGAACAGGTGACGGTAGAAAGCTGCAAAAGAAATTTTAAAAGATCTTGTGGCCTTGATTTCTTACAGCCTTTATACATTTTGGTGTGTACTTTCAATTTTAAAGAAGGTTTTGGTTTCGAGTACGCGACTTGTATTTCTTAGGTCACTTCCGAAGGTTTCATGAGTACAAAACTTCCTGCTCCGTGAATCTAGGGAGAATGCTCTATCTTCTGTGCAATAGCTCAAACAAACGACAGTACATTATTTAGAAGTTCAAGGTTACGTTAACATGCTTGACTGAAGACAAAAGTTGTAAAAAAAAATCACAATATTTGCAAATGCACACAATGAATTTGAAACAAAGTGTCAGTGTAGTATTTTTTTGTGTGTCAATGCCTTAAATTAGAATTTTTGATTATACTAAAATATGAATGCAGCGATTTTGTAACTTCAGCGATATCTTGATCTAAATTCGTTCATTCTTTGCCTGCAGACTTTTCAGTTCCTGATTGAAACGGTGTATTTCGTTTATTAATGTACTTAATAAATTATGCCATCGATTTAATTATTGCACTTTATTAATCATGTACCATAAATACAACAGCTACACAAATATTTAGGCCGTTAAATAACCAACAAGAAAAAATTATTCAAATTATTCTTTAACTTTACAAAAGTAAATAAATAAATAAAATGAATGCAAGATTCAAATAATCATAAAAACTAAGAGTATTAAATATATGTGTACTAACCCTCCCCCTTGAGTCTTCTTTCACATTTATATTTTTGCATCAATTAAAATGTTATACTGACAAACGATTTGAAGGATCAATCCACCAAATCTTATGTAGAAAGTATATCAAAAGTCACTATTATATAATAGACCAGAAGAACAGCAGAAAGAAGATGATCATAACGGCAACTACCTTAAGCTTAAAATGTACTGCGTACCGAATTTCGGTTCATAAGCTTATTTTTCATTGGGTCGACATAAACTCATTAAAAATCAAATGACCCACTTTATAGAATGTTTTATTCACAATTTGGGGGGAAAGGAGGGTTTGTGAAGAAAACCATGGCAATAACTTGATTAAAGTTTATAGAAAAGTTATTTTTTAAGATACACAGGTAAACGTGATGAGACTTTTAAAACTCTTTTAAGCTTTAAACATTAATTTTACAATATCTATTCTGAATAAATTTAATGTCGCATAACTTTTATGATTATGTAAAGTTTTATTAATCACACAGTACACTGAAAATGCATTGAAGTATCTTGTGAGATGAACATTATGAATTAATTCTCTATCCTTTCAATAGAAAATTTTCATTCATATAATGATTTTTGCAGGTACTTTTAAATGAGATCTGTAAGAATATATACTGAAACGCAAAAGAAATGCAACATCCCATTTTAGTGGGTAATTATTACAAATAGTAAAGAATTTTATAATTAAAAAGTATGGATAGTTTCATTTTTATTTTTGTTATTTTTTTAATGGTCGAACAATTTTCATTCCAATACCGGAAGTTAAGTTTGATTCTGCTAAACAGAAATAAAACAAACTGTATGTTTAACAAAACATTTGGCAATATTATGGAGTACCAAGGGTTTGTCACTGTTCATTTATGCAGCAATATCACGTAAAATAAATTAATATTTCGTTTCCCGTAGAGATGAAAATGCTTCCTGAAAATGACTTTAGTACGCATTTCCATTGCTTTAGCTTGAAAATCTCAAAATATAGGTAATGTAGGGTTTCTGATGCAAAAATTAACTACATTACGCCTCATCAGGGATATAATTATATATTATATGCATTAATGACAGTGTCTCAATAGTTTCTTATGTGTTATATGCATTAATGACAGTTCAAGTGTTTCTTCACTGCGCTAGGTTAGAGAAAATTCGATCTTATCTTCTGAAAAATGGGTATTTGAAAATGGCTTCCTCAGATTTCGATAGAGTTGAAACTTTTGCATCGTAGAAATTATATAAGCTGCAATTGTTATGTTGGGCAGTCTTGCACGCTTTATTTGAATGGCTGGGAAGTGGTGTTTTAACAGTGATGTGTTACGTGTACTGTATTTTCTAAAATTAAAAGATAATGAATTAACATTTTTATCAAATTTCTGATGTATTTTCTAAAATTAAAAGATAATGAATTAATGTTTTTATCAAATTTCTGATTTTTTAAAAAATAAGTTTAGCCTTACAGTATTAATTTTTGAAAATCATTGGATAAAAAATCCATATATTTGTAGATTACTGCATATTTCGTTTCTGTTGCGTTTCAGTATACAACTTCTCATTCTGAATTTTGAGTCAATCAATCTTTACAATATAGATTTCACATACGATTTAACCCAACAGAAATAACTATATATTTTTTCTGTCAAATCTGTTTAGGATGATATAAACTGCGGTAATGCTTTACAGCTGATCTTTTCTTTTGGTAAAGGTTAGCTAAAAGGCTAGGTTACGTTTTCCTATAAAATTGTGCTGGCCATATACACCGATTGCATAAAAAAGATCATACGCCTTATTTCAAACATCAATATAAAGAAAATATTGTTCCATTTCAGTTCCTTTCACAATTTCTTTTGAAATTTTAGACATTTAAAAGCAGACTTTTACTGCAATAATCTAGAATTTTGCAGAAAATGGGTGAATTAGAAATACTTTAGCAAATCAAAAAATTAAATTATAGTCCAAACTTTTGAAAAAAAAAAAACTTCTTTACTTTTTTTTTACCCAGTGTTAAATCTGAATATTCTTTTTCTTTCAGAGGTACTGAATTGCTTTTCATCATATTAAATAAGGTTTTCGTGTTTGTTCCAGTATCTCTTATCATGGATATGTTCTTATTGATAGAAATCTGAGTGAAATTGATAGTTTAAACCTTTTAGATCGAGTAGGGTAGTTTCTTGGAGTACGTCATGGAAAAAAAATTTACAGTCTTTTTGTCCAGTTCCGAATGTGGATCAGTTCCGAATAATTATTAATTTAAGAGCCGATTATCAATACATTAAAAGTGTAAACATACCTTGATATGAGGACTTATTAATGAGTGTTTGGTTTATATGAGGCATTGTGTTCGATATAGTAATTGAAACATTTTGCACACATTTACAATGCAGCAAATCTGAATCCCTCCGACGTGTATGTTTGCAAAATACCTCTGTATAGACGTCAATTTTTCACATTAACCAGCATTGCAGGTATCAAAAGTAAATTTGATGTGTATTTTAACAAATACCAAAATCTTGTTAGAAATAAATAATTAGAACATTGGATGATATCGGAATTTTCTAACATTGTCATTTTACTAGTTCTGCCTACCCATAATAGACACTATAATATGTTCTTTCTTATTTTTTTTCAATGCAATCGTGACTGTTATTATACGAGGGGTGATCAAGAAGTTCGCGAACTAATTGAATGGCTTTTAAAATATTTTTCAACTTGATATTTTGAGTTTAGTCCTTTCCAAAATAGGTCTCTCTAGCTTTTATGCTTTTTTCTCATCTGTCTGCCCAAGCCCGAAACAAGTGATCCAAGCCATCACGTGACAAGACTCTTAACCTTAGCATCTTGTTCACAGCAGTACCAAGATCTTCCCGGGGCCCATATATCTCTCCCTGTAGGTTATATTTCAAAACTAGAAATTGCCAAAAGCCGGTGAGTTGGGTTTTCTATAGTGTCCATCATAACCCGACTTTTATGGCTAGGTGCGTTATCTTGGTGCACAGTGAATCCAGCTTGTATCAGATCTGGGCGCTTTCTCTTTACTGCTCTCATTAAATCTAATTTGATAACCCGTGCATAGTAGTCTCTAGTAACTGGAATTTTAGGTGGTACCATGTACATCATATGTAATAATTCTATTCATGAAGAAACGTCCTTCTTTTTCATAGGTTTAATTATGTTCGACCCGTACACATTCACCCTCATCCTCATTTGTTCTCACTGGCAGAAGGAAATGAGGGGTCCACCTTGCACAACCTTACTGCATTTTAAGGGTACTTACCACAAACAAAAAATGGATGCACCGGTTGATGTATATTTTTTGACTGATTTTGATTTGAAATTACATAAATAATAAATTTCTGAAATAAAAAGAAATCGTAGGTTTTCCTCCGTGCTTAGATATAAGATTTTGTTTTGCCTTCTATATAATTCCATACAAAGTTTTGCGCAATTTTTTAACTTTATGACAAAATCTTACATAAATCTCCCATTCTACTTGGTAAACATTATTCAAGTTACCAATTTGAATATAAATCTATTAGAAATAATGCTGATTTCTGAAAAAAAGTTTGTTTGTGTTATTTATCCTTAAGCTTATTCGTTCAAATATTTTGAAGTGTAATTTCAAATGACATGCTCAGATAATATGCTATATCCCTAATCGTAATTTTTCGATGTTTCAACATATATTTTCAACCTCCAACACGTTTGCCTCACTACTAACGTTCAGCGGGCACCCAGATCGATCATCATCTTTCACCAATTCCCTTCCTTCAATAAAACGTTTCATCCACTGACTCATTGTACTTTTTGCAAACCCACTATCCTCATAAACTTTATGTAAATCATTGTATATAACCATAAAAGATTTACCTAGTTTTACATATAACTTTATCATGGTTCTCAGCTCAAGTAAGATTGACTCATCCATTTTCGTCACATTCGTCTCTATATTGACTTTATTTTTAGATCACGACGTCATAATTATGACACATTTTTCAACAAAACTGATACTATACATGACTTGTGTGGGACTATATATAGGCCAAGGGTATGTGAAGATTTAATGTCTCATTACTATTTCCACGGCATCAGATAACGTATGTTTCTACCAACGCTAGGGATTATAAATACATGTAATTGAAACATCGCTTCAATCCATCATCGAATTCAATGATCAACGGGTAAACTCTATGAAAATTTCTTTCCTTCTATATTTAGTATTTATAGTGGAGACTTTTTAATTCGAACTCAGAAAATTTCTCAGAAATTATTAGAACGATTTGCACTGGAACACAAACGTCCGGGTCAAAAAGACTAAAAAGATTATTAAAATACTGGTTTCAATGAATCTATTTTCATTTCACAGCTTTTTTTATTATTCAACATTTTCAGGGTTTCATAAATCATTGAAGGACTACTTTTAGATACATTCAGAAAGAAAGAGCATGTGCAGAAATACGAGTTTTTATGAAAATCATCCTTAGGGTAAAAGGAAGAAATTTTTCACTCATTCTATGAAAACAGACGTTTTTTACTACAAATTTGCGAAAAAAAAAAATAAACTTTTTTATATTTCATACACACCTATCTAGTTATTTTTTTCAAATAATTTTTACTCGGTGCACCTTCTCATTGTGTACACAATATGGTTTTTTTTCCTCCGAATAATAACTTTGTGATGCAAAGTTTTTTTTTTAATTTGATGCTTCGTACATTTCTTTAAAAAAAACAGAGCTGAAACTACTCTACGTGAAGATGGATACATATAATGACCACATAGGAATGTGGAGTTGAATATTTGAAATGTGTGTTTTTCAATTTTCCTTCATGAATCTTTGAATTGTGAAACTGTGTCTTCTTAGGCATAGACAGAAAGAAAGCCCATAATGCATTGACCAAGTCTATAACATGAAGTAGACTTTTGCAAGTCCAATATGCATGAACCACATAACATCGAAAGATGCTGGGAGATTCATCATTGTTAGAATGTTTATGAAATAGAATATGAAATTTGAATATCTGTTATGACAGTTTCTTTGCCATTTTACAAAAAACAGAATGGTATAATTTTTTTCAAATCTGTTAAAGTAAGGTTTTAACAAGGGAAAACGTTAACATAAAAAATCGACAACATGAAAAATACAAAGTGGGGGAGGG